GGCTACTGCCAGGATGGCACAGCCAGCTGCTGCCTCCCAGGCGTGGCTGGGCAACATTTACCCCAGCTCCAGGAGCGCAGGCTTGGGCTGCAGCCACAGGGGAGGTTTATCTCACTTACCCCTGAAGATGCGGGTGGCCCAGCGACACTGGAGCTCGGAGATGGGCATGATGGCACCCAGGGGCTGGATGAGGCCAATGAAAGCCAGTGTCGGCTTCTCTAGATCAGGGGGAAACATGAATTTGTATAGCGGGATCTGGTTCTCCACCACCTTCACACAGCCTTGGAGGAAGGGGAAGGAGAAGCTGTATCCTGTGGCGAAGACCACAGCATCAATGTCTTCCCTGGTGCCATCTTCAAAGATGGCAGATGTTTCTGTGAACTCCTGGATGTTTGGCTTCACCAGCACCCTGCCTGAAATGATGCGGTTGGGTAGGTCGTCATTGATGGTCGGATGTTGGTCAAGGACCCTGGAAGCACAAGGAACCATCAGGGTGCTGGGGTGGGTGTCTCTGCTCCGTGTCCTGCTCCAGCCATGGCTCCCTGCTGTGAGGATGCAGGTCCCCAGGGATGCTCATTTCCAGTGGGGCTGTTCCCATAGGGGTGCTTGGCAGCTGCCACTGCACTGTACCAATGTTCCCTGGAAGGGGCCATAGTGGTTCCCTGGAACATTGCCTGGGCACTACACAGCTGTTAACCAGGTTTCCAGGGCTGTTGTCTTGGCCCCAGCCTGGGCACAGGGAGGATGGGAATGGCCGAGCAGTGCTGGACATGTGGGAGGCAGAGGGTCCCTCCTGGGCAGCGGGAGCATTTGCTGGCACCTGTGCTTTGGCTTCAGGCCGTAGTGTGAGTGGTTGAACCTGGCGTTCAGCTGCTTCTCCACAAAGTTGCTCACCATGGACTGGCCCAGCAGTTTCTTCAGGAACACGTTGATGCGGGTGATGAGGATGGTGTCCATGGGATAGCCCTGATCTCCAACGCGGTTGAAGATCCACGCTCCGCGGCGGGTGCTGAGGAAGACCTGGGCAAGGAAGTAAGTTGCCTGCTGAAGGCTTTGCTGTTCCTGAGGGGCTGGCTGGAGGAGACATGTCCCTGCCCCAGGGTAGGTCCTTCCTGCTGCCCAAGCACTCAGCAAAGGCCAGGAGGGCAGAGGTAGCTGATGGTCAGCACCTAGCAGGGGCAAGGAAGTAGGGAGCAGCCCAGGGGCAGCCCCAGTCTGGGGCTCAGAGATGGAAATCGGGGTATCCATACAGGATCGACTCTTGACTGACCGAGGCTGGGATAGTGGGTGCCAGCTTTGCCAACTGCAGTGAGTGCTGGGATGGAGCAGTGGCTGTGCCAGCACTTTGGTCCCAGTGTCCTCGTGGAGCTGGCAGTGTCCCATGGAGCGCTGCCCTGGCCACTGGGACCCCACTCCTGCTGCTCACCTGCTCAGCTGTTTGGCTGACCTCCACAGCCAGGTCTGCCCCTGAATTCCCGATCCCAATGACAATGACCCTCTTGTTTGTGAAATCATGGGCATCCTTGTAGTCTCGGCTATGGAGGTAGCGGCCCTTGAACTTGTTGATTCCTGTAGGCACAGAGGAGGGATGCTTGGCTTCCTGGTGCTGGGCTGGAGGGTCACCTCCTGAAACACTGAGTTGGGGCTGTCCCTGGCTCCTTCCTGGGGAGCATGGGAGCTCTCCTTGAGCTGACTCAAGGCAGGGAAATGCTGAGGCCAGAAGGAAGAGCAGTAGGGAGAACAGGGACTGCCACAGCCAAGCTTTCTGGGGTCTCTCCTTGTGCATGGGTGCTGGGCAGTACCTGGGAAGGCGCTCAGTGGGAGGTGTGCCTCAGTGTGGTGGCCGGTGCACACCAGCACAGCATCAAAGATGGCCGCCTCCTGCTTCCCCTCACTCTCTGTCACCACCTCCCACTGGCCCGTGGCAGCGAAGTCGGGATGCTTGGACACACGGCACACGCTGGTCTGGGTACAGGGGGAGCAGGCGTCAGGCACCCTGTGCCCCGGGCCAGCTGTGCCACTCACCCCAGACCCTGGTGCCTCTCACCCTGAATCGGATGTGGCAGAGCAGGTCAAAGTGCTGGGCATACGTGCGGAAGTACTCCATGATCTTGGAGTTGTGCATGTAGTTGGGGAAGTCCTCAGGGATTGGGAAGTCGCTGAAGCTCATCATCTCCTTGGAGGTGTTGATGATGACAGAGCGGTAGATGCTGGCACGGCCCTCCTCAGGGTGCTCCTGCAGGAGCGGAGCATGGTTCTGGATGGTCCAGGGCCATGATGGGGAGGGATGGCTGGGGCTGATGTGGTGGCTTTTTATGTGGAGGCCCTGGCCTCAGCTCGCCTTCAGGACCCCGTCACAGCCAGCTGCATGCCACCCCACCAGCAGCCACTGATCCCCGGCTGCTGCGGTTCTGACCCCCAGCAGGACATGTGGCCAACAGGGTTTACCTCAAACCTCCAGAGCCCTCCGATGTCCCCGGTCCTCTCGAAGCAGATGGGCTCCAGTGCCTCCTGCAGGCAGGCTTTGATGGCGCACAGCCCACTGCTGCCCCCTCCGATGATGGCCACCCTCTTTGCCATGCTGCCCTCTACCTCTGATGTCTGCCTGGGAACAGTGCTGGAGAACGGGGTTGAGGGGCACAAGGTACAGCTGTGCACAGTTTGGTCCTGTGCACCATAGTTGTCCCAAGCTGAGGGGCAGCCCCCAAAGGTTTGTCTGGGACTGTGAGAGTACAGCTATCCCCCTCCCTCCAGCAGGGACCTGGTCAGTGCTGGGGTTTTTCACCAATGCAGTGTTTACCTCCAGACACCTGGGAGAAGTGCTACCTAGTATTATGGAGCCTTGAAATCTCCCCCCTCATGGTAAGTCCAAGCAGTGGAGGCATGCCAGAGTGCCGTGCCCTTCCGCAGATATCCATGGCTCCCACCCCGGTGGACACAGCCCCTGCAACTGCACTTTGCTCTCTTCCTTCCCCAGGGTAGATACTGATGGTGCCACCCTGGCACCTGCTGAGTGCTGCCACCCACCTGGAGTCCCTCCACTGACCTGCAGCTGTGGGTTCTGCAGCCCAGGGAAGGCCAGTGGCAGGCAGGGAGTCAGTGAAGGTCTCTGCTCAGTTGTCCCAAACTGAGACGCCAGACGCTGGCCTGGGTTTTTACTGGGGCCTCCCACTTGGTCACTCCTCCCACACTGGGGAGAGGAAGCCAGCAGCTGGTTGGCTCCGGACGCCTGCGTGACTTTTCCAGCAGCGTCCCTTGCCAGAGGTTCAGATCTTAGAGGTAAGTAGCCGTCCCACGCACCTTTCCAGGAATCACCGTGCAGAGGCACTGCAGGGACATGGGGTTGCAGGACAGGCAGAGATGCAGCCGGTCCTCATCACGTGAACGACCAGGAAACAAACGCTGCTCTGTACTTTTAACTCTGCGCAGTGCTGGAGAATGGGGCTGAGGGGCCCAGGGTGCAGCTGTGCACAGTTTGGTCCTGTGCACCAAAGTTGTCCCAAGCTGAGGGGCAGCCCCTGAAGATTTGTCTTGGATTAGGAGACAACAGCAGGGATGCTGTAGGGACATGGGGTTGCAGGAAAGGTGGAGGTGCAGCTTGTCTCTGTGGTGTGCATCTTGAGTAAACAAACAGTGCTCTAATTTTTACCTCTGTGATTATCAGAATGTCCTTATATCTCACCTGGGTTCAGGTGGGATAGAGTTAATTTTCTTCTTTCTTCTTGTGGTGCAGTGCTGTGTTTTGGATTTAGTCTGAGAATAATGCTGATAACACACCAATGCTTTACTTGTTTCTAAGTAGCAATTACCTTTGAGGACTTTCTCATGCTTTGCCAGTGAGGAGGTGCAGAAGAAGCCAGAAGGGTGCAGAGAGAGGACACCTGATCTGGACTAGCCAAAGGGATATTCCATACCACAGCATGTCATGCTTGGTATATAAACTGGGGGAGTCACCCCGAAGGGACTGATTGCTGCTCAGGTAGAGCTGGGTATCGGTTAGCAGGTGGTGAACAATTACATTGTTCATCGCTGGTCTATCTTGGATTTTATTCCCGTTTCTTTTTTCCTTTTCATTATTATTTTTTTTTTTAATTTCAAAAAAATTAAACTGTTCTTATCTCAACCCATGGGTTTTACCTTTTTCTGATCCTCCTCCTCATCCCATGGGCTCTGAGGAGCAAATGAGCAGCTGGCTAGTACTTAGTTGCCGTCTGGGCTTAAACCATGACAGAGAATCATCCCAACCCTGGTAACTGGAGGCACACACAGTTCCAGCTGTTCTGCTGGCACCAGGTACCACATCGCCTATGTCCCCCCTGCCCCTGGGCTGGGCATGTTTGCACAGTGTCCCTGGAGCCATAGCTTGCTCCTGGGCCATTGGAGTCACAGGTGGGGCCACCGGCACCTGGGTGTGAGAAGCACTGTGCTTCTGGGGTGTCACTGGTGCCAGGGTAGTGGGGCCGATTAGGAAAAGGCTTTCCCTGGCAGCAGGAGGCACAGACCAAGTGGCTAAGGAGCACAATGCTGGCTCCTGGCACACCTGCAGCTGGACAGCCCCTGGGAGCTGCAGGGGAAATTTGCTTTCCTGTGTCAGGGGAACTTTGCCCCAGAGCAGGGTTGTGGAGAGGCCAAGCTCCGCATCTGAAAGGTTTTTAACCTTCTAAAAGTCATAGTATGTTTGCAATAGGTGTAATAAAGCTCTTTCTGTCCCTTGCTGTTGGCGAAGGCTGATCTCTGCCTGGGCAGAGGCACCAAGCTGCCAATCCACACTCTGCCTGTCTATTGAAAAGCATCAAAAGCATCTCTTACCAGGCAGGCAGATCGGCAGTGGATCAGCACGGGAATGGCAAGGAGGCAGCGCTGGCAATACTACCCACCCTGGTCTGCTTGCAGCTGGCTTCTGGCTCTTTCAGACTCTGCAGGGATGCCCAAGGGTGATAGGTACAGGGGACTTCCAGCTTTCAACCCCACTGCTGTGCTATGAAATCTCTGTGCAGGTTGCCTTTGAATTTGCCCTTCTTCCTTGGCAGCTTTACGAGATGCACAGCCTTGGACTTTGCCCCACTGTGCTTGGGTTCATGACCTAGCTGAACTGCACCTTGAGGCACAGGTGACTGTGGGAGTGCATCATGGACAAAACATAGCATTTCAGTCAAGACGAGCTTGTTGATGTCA